AAATGTTTAAATGTTTATATTAAATTTAAAAATTTATTTTTTTACTATAAATATATTGGTGTATCTACATTTTTGCACCAGACTATAATTTTATATTTATTCATGTAAAAATATTAAAGAGACAATACTTTTGACAAAATTACATTTTTTCAAAAAAGAGTTTAGTCAGATATAACTAACTAGCTTTATTTAGATTAATAGTATTTGTTTTTTTGTGACTATCATATGTGTATGATTTTATCTTTAAGTTATATGCTTCATAATATTTTCGTAATGCAATCATAATTGGATAATCCAATTCTCCCATTGAAAAAAAATATCTAGTAGAAATATCTTTTCAAGATTATCAGTTATGTAATATTTAATAATTAAAGTTTTAGAAATATAATAAAATAATAATATCATAAGTAAGTTGCTTATTATAAAAGATTCTTATAGTAGTATTATTTAATGTTAAAATAATTTGTGTTTGACAATTTTGATCATCAATCATATTTTCATCCTTAGTATTTGAAAATTAAAAATATCATCAATTGTATTGGTAGCCTGCTTAGAAACTTGACTGATTGCATAAGAGATTTCTCTATCAATTTCAAAAAATCCGTTTAGATTATTTTCAAGTTCTGAACTTGACTTAATTTCAATTGATACTTTCAAACTTTGCTTCTCTATTATTACAAATGGCTGTAATAATAACTGATTCGTATTTAGAGTAGAGTTTATATCAAGTATTTTAGTAAGATCTAATACCAATTTATATGAATACTTAATTGTTAAATTAATATCAGTATCTGATGGCTAATCACATAATACTATTAATTAATATTTCCTATATTATAATTGAAATGATAGCCTATTTAAAAAAAACAAAGTTAAATAAATCTTATCCCTTTAATGGTAAAAAATTGCAGGCAAATTTGCCTGCAATTTTAATTAATTTTTAATTTAAATTTTTATTATTAAACCTATCGATTTTTTTTGATTTTTACTTAACTTTCATTATAAATTTTATTATAAAAATATTAGTTTTAATAAATATTTTATTTTAGAAAGTTTTTATTAGAACAGAATTTTTGTATTTTTAATAATTTATAATTTTTTATAACTTTTAAATTAAATTTTATATTAAATTTTATACATTTATCTAGGGTTCTGCAAAAAATCTGATTCGATTCGAATCCGATCTGATCCGAACCTTTGGATTCGAATCGGATTTATCAGATTCGAATCAAATTTGAATCAGATTCAAACTAAATCTGATTCGTTAGATTTGAATCAGATTTATAAAATTTAGATTGAATTCGAATCGAATTTATAAAATTCGAATCGAATCTGTCGAATTTGAATTTGGGTCTAATCTGAAATCTGATATAATTATGTTGTGTGTTACATTCTTTACTTTTATTTATATTAAAAATAACGGTCTTTAAAAATTTTATTTTCCTTTTTTTTTTTAAAAATTTTCGAACAATACATTAAAAAAAATTTTAAATAATAATTTTTAATAATTTTTTTTTAAATTAAAAAAAAAAATTAACTGTTTTCGTCTTCACTTTATCTTACCATTTTTTGCCTTCGTTTTTCCTCGCTCCTTCCTGTTTTTTTTTCTTTGCCTTTTTGTTTTTTCTCTCTTATTCATTTTCCTCTTTGTTGTCTTTTTCATTATCTCCTTCATTTTTTCCTTCATCTTCTCCTTCGATTTTCTTTTCGTTTTCTCTTTCATTTTATCTTTATTTTTCTTTTTTGTATTCTTTTTCGTTTTCTTCCCCTTCATCTTCCCCTTTCGTCTTCCCCTTCATCTTCATCTTTGTCTTCTCCTTCGTCTTCGCCTTCATTTTTTCCTTTTGTCTTCCCCTTCGTTTTCCCCCTTCGTCTTCTTTTCGTTACGGAAAAGAAGTATTCTCACCGTTGTCTTTTTTCTTTTTCTTTTAAGGCGGTTGAGTTGTAATTCCAAAGAAAAACATTAGATAAGTTTATTCAAATTTTTTTTTAAATTTAAATAAATAAAATAATATACTTACCTTTTTTTCTTTTTCTTCTTTCACTGATTATCTTCTTTGGCATTTTTTTTTGATTTCCTTCATCACTCCTTTTCATTTTTCCCTTAATTACTTCCTTTTCGTTCATTGCTTTCCTCTTTATCATCTTCCTTCTTGCTTTCGTCATCTAATTCTTTTCTTTTGTCTTCCCCTTCATCATTATCTTGCTTCTCTTCGCTTTTCCTTCGTCTTCCTTTCATTTGATTTTTTGATTTTTTTTTTTTTTTAAGACGGTTGTTTCTTAATTCCAAGTAAAAGGATTTCTTTTATAAAAATATACATTTGGTAAGTTTTTTTAATAATTTTTAATTTTAAAAAAAATAATTTACTAAC